AGCTCAGAGGGGAGTTGGTGAGCCATAGAGGACATCATGTTTGGCGCTGGTAAATAGCGCATTTTCCAATGGGCTCCCAGCAGCAATGTGAGAGAATCCCAGGTTCGTCCCATCCTCATGGGACGAACATACGCAGCATTCCCCATGTTGTTTTTATACACACCACCTGGTGAGAACATGGTTGCCTCCTTATGATTTTGATGGCTTTTCTTGGTGGTTAATGAAGCTAATCTTTTAAATTGTTGGCATTTTGGATATTTTCTTTCGTGAAATGCCTGTTCAAGTCTTTTGCCCTTTTTTGTAGTGCCGTCCATCTTTTTCTTATGGATCTATAGAAATTCTTTATGTGTGCTGCTATTTTCATCTCTTTCTCTCCAGGACCAGCACATTGTCCATTTCATAGCATGTGCTTAATAACTCTCCAGGTTGTTGTAGAATGAATTAGTACACAAGATAGGAAGAGTAGCTCCTGTTGAATGAATAAGGCCTTTACATACTTTTGTTTATTTTTTGGTTTATGGTAACAACTTAATTGAAGCATAATTTACATCTCCAAATTGTACTTGTTTTAAGCATACAATTTAATGATTTCCTGAGTTGTGCAACAATTACCACAATCCAATTTCAGAACATTGTCATCACCCCAAAAGGAAAGATTATGCCTATTTATGTACACTATTACCAACTCTAGCCCCAGGCAAGTGCTAATTTATTTATTGTCTCTTTCATATATGTGCAATCATGCAATACACAGGCTTTTGTCTCTGGCTTCTTTCACTTAGTGTAATGCCTTTGAAGTCCATCCGTGTTGTGGCATGTGCCAGTACCCCAATTCTGTCCTTGGCTGAGCGAATATTCCATTGCATGGGTGTACAACATCTTTTCTATGTAGTCATCAACTGAAAGACATTTGGATTATTTCCACTTTTTGACTATTATAAATAGTGCTTCTATGGACATTCACTACAGTTTTTGTGTAGCCATTTGTTTTCATTTCTCTTAGGTAGCTACCTGGGAGGGACTTGCTGGGTGATAGGACAAATTTATGTGCAGCTTTTTAAGAAACTGAAACAACCAGAAGCTGATGATGGAAAGACATATAAGACTGTACTGGGTAGAGAAGAAACATCTGCCAGCACATAGTTATTAAAAGCATGGTGTCAAGAGAAAGCTAAGAAAGAGAGACTAGATGCTGCTCTTAGGAGTTTACAGTGTAATCTGGATATCCTAACACATGTGCTCATAGGGTAACTTGGCAATATGGAAGACTGGAAGATGAGCAGGGGTCTAGACAATTTTCACAAAAGGAATTCAGGAAGTACTGAATGCCTACATTTTACAAGACTCAATTTTACAAGACTCAAGCTTTAAGAAGGCTAAATGGAAGTTTAAAACCAACATGCTATTCCTCCCTTGAGTTACTAGTAGTTTAATCAGTAAAATAAAATTTACTTATCAAAGAAGTTAATTTTTTTAATGCTCTCCTGAGGATATGTTTATTGATTTTAAAGTGGGGGAGAGAGAGAGAGAAACACTGACATGAAAGAATCATTGATCAGTTGCCTCTCCTATGCACCCTGACCAGGGATCAAACCTGCAACCTAGGAATGTGTCCTGATGGAACAGGCAACATTTTGGTGTATAGGATGACGCTCCAACCAGCTGAGCAAACTGGCCAGGGCTCAGAGAAGTTAAAAACAGAATAAATGATAGCTGTACTTTCACTTACATCTTTTAAACATTAGAATTTTTCAGCAGTAAGTGCAAAACCCACAAGGACTCCTTGGGAGACATCGGCAGAGGGCAGGTAAGAACCAGGCCAGACAAACAGCAGGAGTAGTGGTGAGATACTGCACAGAGCCTAAAGAAGAGCCCTCCCAACACAGTCAGTATAAGAGTCCTCCTACACTAAGTCAGTGCCTTAGGGAAAAAGGCTACAAGAATTCCTGGAAGGGGGAAATGAAAGGCTGAATACTGAGATGAACAAGATCATTTTAAACAGGACAAGCATTCCCACTGGCACTGCACTGGTTGCACCAATAACAGGGGCTCCACAGTAGTATAGGTAACAAAAAAGTACATTTGTTTTGCACATCTGAGAAGTCGTGGATAAACTTCCCAGTCGTGCTAAAAATCTTGGTGATATCTTACCAAATTATGTATGAACACATGCCTAAATTAAAAAAATACCAAAATATTAAAATACTCCAAATGGTATAATTATTGGTTACTTTTATTTTCCTTGTTTCTCATCATGTTATCTGATTTTCTAAAAGGAACATAAATTATCCTAACATTTCTTAATAAATCACGACATTCAGAACTTATATAATATTGAAGTAATAGATAATCAGGAAGGAGGATGGCAAAGGGAAAGTAGGTGAGGGGGAAACTCTTTCCTTCAAAATCTTAGGAGAAAACAGAAACCCAGAGAGTGTTCCTTTAACATTTTTGGCATTCCAAAGATATAAGTTTCCACTTCTATTATTGCACTGGAAATCTTAGTTCAAAATGAAGTGTTACATAGCAAATAACCAGGCACATTGGGCTAGACAGATAATAATAATGCTAATACTTGAGTACTTTACATGCCTGGCATTGCTCTAAGTAGTTTACATTTTTACCCATTTAATCCTCTTAATAACTTTATGGTATAAATATTACTATTATTTTTTTCTAATGATGAAGAACATGAGGCTCAGACAGGTTATGTAAATTGCCCAAAGGCACATAGAAAGTGGCAGAACTGAGGTTTGGAACAGGGAGAGCAGAGCCCAGATATTTAACCATCTCAAGTCATATTCCAGCTATTGGATTCAGTCTCCAGTCTCAGATGGAGAAAGGGACTCAAAGGTGTTAAAGGATTTGTCTGAGGTGACTTCATAGATGAGATCAGACACAGCAGTTCCACGGACTGCTAGTCCAGTTTCACTTCTACAAGGACTGACCTTGGGTATCACCAGAGAGCCCTTTCTTAAGATGCCATTTGTGGATGAACCAAAAGGATACAGTTTCCTGACTCTGGCAAGATGGACTAGACTAAAGGAAGCAGCACTTGACCTATTGCACAGTAAGCCAGATCTGAGTTCAAAGCCTGGTTCACTGTTTACTAGCCATATGATAGTGGGCAAGTCACACCCTCAGAGCTCAGTTTCTCTGCTGGTAAACTGTAGGCAATAACCACACCAGCTCATATGATTACAGGAATGAAATGAAAGAATTGAAAAAAAGAAAAAGGACTCACGGACACGGTCAACAAGGTGGTGAATGCGGGGGTGGGGTGGCTGGAGGTGGAAGAGGGTATAAGGGGGACAAGTGGTAATGGAAAAAATACAATTAAAAAAAGAATTGGAAGAAACTGACAGCCATAATAAGTTTGGGTGCTGCAGAAGTTTGGGGTGGGTGATTTAAAGCTGATGTGCATGGGGTGTTATGTAGGTTGAGATTTTTCCAGCCCAAAGTAGATCACAGGTTACTCAAGGCTACCATGGGGGATTCTGCGTAGAAGGAAGGGCCTGGACCAACTCTCCTAACTTGAGCTGGGCCATATCAGAAGATATGAAATCTGAGGTCAGCCTACTAACAGTCACATATTCCCCTGATACAGGAAATTTTAGTTCTTTTTTTAGCACTTGATTAGGTCAGTTACTTCTAGTGACTCTTCTATAACAATTTTTGCAGCTCTGCATTAAGGGACTCTTAATGGTGGCTGTGGTCAAGAGTTTGTTCCTCATATTTCTAGCCAAGCAAAGGTTTGTCAATTCGCAATCCACAGCATAATATAAACAATCTGCATTTGTCAACTTGCCCATGGCCTGAGGCCAGACTGAGGCTGAGTTCAGATGGTTTAAACGCAGAATATGGCTCAACAGTGATTCTCAAAGCCAGGCTGGGCCTGGGCATAAGCATATTTTAAGGCTACTCAGGTGATTCTAATGTATAGCCAGTACTGAGAACCACTGACGCAAAGCATAGAAAGATGTGCAGGATCTTATGGCTTCTGTAGCCCAGACTGACAGATTTTATAAAGGACTTCTAGGCAAACATAGTGAGAGGTAAAAAGACTGGGGTTGGGGGCAGGGAGATGGGGATCGTGGAGTGGCTGTGATGCACAGAGTGAGAAATCTCTATTTAATTTAATAGGCAAAGGGAGCCATGGAAGACTATTGAGTAAGATGTAAGGGTAGGCAGTTAGAAGTATACAGAGAAGTGCAACTATTTAATGTAGTTTAGAAAATGGACTTTTTTCTATGAAGTAGGCAATGAAGTTTTCTTTTACTTCTATACCCTCAGCCTAAGATCAACTTCCTTCAGCACCATGGTCCACTGGTCCCCGGAGAGCTGACACTTGTCCAAATGATCTTCATAGGTATTTGGAGCGTTGCATAAAAAATAGCAGCCTGAATGTTTGTTGACTGAGTAAATGAATGTGGCCCATCTGGGTATCAGGAGAATTGGTACTTTTTGCCAGCCCCTTTGCATGTAAAACGGTGGGGGCTGAGCCTCTCATCTTTCTCCTTTCCTTAATTTATCCTCATGGGGCTGATTCGAACTCTAATGCCGTCACCTCCCCCGTGGGTAGTGCCTTCTTGTAACGCCCTGCCACCCGGCTACCCAGCTTCCCGGCTTCAGGCGCCAGGCTTCAAACCTGTCTTTCACCCATTGTTCAGTTTCCGGCGAGTCAAGTTCAACCTTAGGTTCAACCACTACAGTGACGGTCACAAACACATTCCCCTACAGGTACCTTGGAGGGGGCGCCTACTCCTACTACACAGGCACAAAAGGGCGTTTCTATTCCAGCGGCCCCTAGTGTTGGGGGTGTGAATGGGGAGACACCTCCCCACTGACCTGCCCCTAAGGCAAGCGAGCGCCCAGCCCTCAGCAGGCGTGGCCGCTGTGGTCCAGCCTCCGCCCCGCCCCCGTCGCCGCTGAGAGAGCCTGGGCTCGGCCACCTAGCCGCCACCCCCCTCTCCACAAACGTCGGGCCACTCCCTTGCTGCGGAGCCCCGCCGAGGGTGATGCTCAGGATCCCACTTCTCCCCAGAGCTGCGCATTTCCGCGTGCTTAGGCGGCTCCAGATCCGGCCGGCCCTCGCGGCAGGAGCCCGCGTTCCGCGTCCACGAGAAGTTGTCTCCGGAGCCCGCGGCGCCTCGGTCTCCTCCCCCCTGAGCCCCGCCCCCCCGCCCGGAGCTGGGATCTGCAAGCTGCCCGGCCCGGGGGCGTCGCCGCTCGCGCTTCGAAACCAGCGAGTATCTGCTTCCCTGCGCGGAGCGCGCGTTCCCCGCCTGGCTGGGGACCCCCGCGCACCCTCGAGACGGCGCGCGCCCAGAGCGCGGGAGCCCGGAGCACTGGGCGCCTGGGACCCCGGGGAGCCACTGCCCAGCCTGCGGGACTCGGCAGGGATGCAGGCTGCTCTGTGAGTCCGGGCGCCAAGGCCATGTCCGGGTCCCGCTGCCGGACCCTGTACCCCTTCTCTGGGGAGCGGCACAGCCAGGGGCTGCGCTTTGCTGCGGGCGAGCTGATCACCCTGCTGCAGGTCCCGGACGGCGGCTGGTGGGAAGGCGAGAAAGAGGACGGGCTCCGCGGCTGGTTCCCAGCGAGCTACGTGCAGTTGCTGGAGGTAAGGGGAGAGGGCCGTGGTCTGGGAGGTCCTGGACTCCGGTCCTCGGCGCGCTCTCAGACCTGTTGCGGGCACCGGGGATTCCGGAGCCGCCCCCGTCGGACCTGCGCCCCCGGGGCAGCCGCTCCTCACCAGACCCGTAGTTCCGCGCTCCTGGGGGCGGCGAAGGCGCTGGCGTCCCTTGGGGCGTGTGCAGCGCGGGGAATCGCCCCCCTCAGCGCCCCCCCACCCCGCCGCCCCCCATGCCGGGCCTCTGGGCAGATCGTGGCGCCCTGAGGAAACGAGAACTTGTTGCCTGTGAGTTCTGGAGCGGACCGTAGCGTTCCCGGCAGGGGTAGGGGCTGGCGAAGGGCTTCTGAGTCCAGTGGTCTACTGGAGACCCACCGAGGATCCGGAATCGAAAAAGTGGCACCGCAGCCCCGTGTCTCCACCCCGAGGCCCGGAGCCTACCGACCCATGGACGGTCTTGCTGCCCAGGGTCAGTCCGCCTGGCTGTCTCGGGGCCGCCCACTTACTGGTCAGCTGAGCCTGGCTGGCTGCCAGCCCGAGCCCCGTCAGCAAGCTTGACTCAGGGGTGCCACAGCCCCCAGCCAGCGCCCCCTCGGCTTTAGAACCTGCGAGTAGCTTGTCGCTGGGGTTCTGGCCTGGCCCCAGGGCTACAGGGGACCTGTTGAGCCAAGTCCACTGGCAGTTTATTGCTTGAGCGACCGTTGGTAGGCTTCTCTGTCCTCTAATCGCTGAGCTCTTGGTCACAGCCTAAGTAGGACCCGAAGTTTCTAAAGCCCTGGAGGCGGGAGGTTGGTAATGGTGACCTTACAGGACTTCTCCTTTAGTAAAAGGCTGCCTGACCCTAGGAGTGTTGTAAAGATTAAATGAGCGGTTACTGCAATTGAGACGCATAGGGAACCGTTCTGGTAAAACGTTGCCCAAATCATGGAAACTGAATTTATTTATAATTTAAAACCCTGACCTACTTCACAAAAATCAGAGTAGCAAATTTTGACTGAAAATGCTTCGTGCAACTCAAGAGAAAGAAGAGAAGGAAAGGAAAAGAAAGGAATGAAAAGAAAAAAAGAAAGAGGTGAAATTCAAAGTATCCTGTGGAAACATTATCAAACATGGAGCCTGGCTGCCTAGAGGTACATTATGTTTCTTTCAGGTCCTGAGGAAAACAACAGAATCGCTCCTAAATGAATCCTGTACTAGTATCTGAAGTTGAGGCTAGAAGTCGCTTTCATGGGCTGCCCGCAGAATGTTCCCTAACCTTCTTAGCTCCCTATTTGGAGAACCTGTGAGTCTGGGGGAGGCTCAGGTGTGTTCCTCTCAGCTTTCCCTTTTCCGAGATTCACATGTGAAAGAAAGCAAGTGCATTCCTTCCTACGAAGACCTGGAGCCCCCTTTTTTCTAGCTCAGAAGCCGTGAGGAAGGCTCCTATTTAAGAGTTCCTCTGCTGGCCACAGTTTTTCAGGAAATACAGAGATGGAAATAGGGCTGTTGGATGTCTGTCTGGTGAGGAGCATCCCTGGCTGGACGCAGCCAGTTCTGTTTGGGGCTGGGGCGAGGCCGGTGGGTTCGTAGACTCTGTTAGTAAGAGTGGAGTGCCTCTGCATTTCTTAGTGGGGGAAAAGGAAGGCAGACACAACCCAGGGGACCAGCTGAATGATCGGCTGGGACAGTCGTGGGTGTGCCATGGCTTACACATACTTAGGAAATCTCTGGTGCCTAAGGGACCTTCTCAGACAACTCCCACCTGGTGACCTGTGGCAGGAGTACCATCTGTGTGAGCAGCCCTGTAGAGCAGTCCTTTCATTTGTTGAGTACCTACTAGGTGCTAGGCATGGTACACACATTGTCACCAGTTCCCCTGGCAGCTCTGTAACGGGGTGGGCCCCATGCCCATTTTACAGGTAAGCAAACTGCATAGGAGAGAGGTGAAGGAAATTGCCCAAGGAGTAATGCTTGCATAGTTGCTTAGCAGCTCAGATGGCTTGGTGGTACTCTCTGTGCCCGTGTTTCTTTCAAACATGATAGCCTGGGCTCAGTTGTGTGGAAAGGCCAGTGAGAGAAGGTGTGGATCCACGAAGGAAAGGGCGAGTGCAGCCCTTGAGGTCAGCATGGGGAGGCTGAAACACTGGGGTAAAAGGAGGGCAGCCGCCCTTTCCTACCTAGAGCATCTCCCTCACTAACCCTGGAGTTTGTTTTCATTCAGAGCCACCTGGTTTGCCCATAGGTGAGGACGGGCGCAGGCTGTGCTCTGAGCCCTGGCACTTTTCAGGGCCAAAGCTGATGCTGTTTTGACAGATAGGATTGTAGATCAGGCCCCGAGTGTCAGTGAACCTCATCCATGAGCAGACTGGACTTCAGGGCTGAGGCCTGGGCAGGGATGGGTTGAGTTCTCAAAGACAGACTCACTTAGTGGGGAATGCAGAGCTCTCAAAGGAGTCGTTGGTGGTGGGCTGGCCAGCAAGTGGGAACGTGAGTCTGGAGGAACACTAGCCAGGTGTTTGTCGAGGCTGAGAGTTAGTGCAGAGACCAGGGAGCCAGAGAAGGAGTCCGTTGATCCTGAAAGTGGTGAACCTTGTGGGATGCTTGCCAAAGGGGCAGCTGGCATGGAGATTGCTGGGGACATGGAGTTCAGAAGGTCAGGGGAGCTGTTGGGGACAGTAAAACAGAGAAAATGGACACCACCAGCCTCCTGGGGGAGGAGGGCATGGTGGGGGCACGGCTGAGAATGTCACCTCCACCCCAGTGTTCTTTTTTCGTTCTGGTGAAAGAGTGATAGCAGGAAACTCTGGCAGATGGAAGGCGGGGCAAGGGCTTGAGAGCTGCATGTGCAAGACGGACACTCCCCATGGATTCCTTCCTCGTTCACATGGGAAGAAAGGAGAACCGAGAGCCCAAGCTTTGCAGGGAGCATAGCCCATGAAGGGGAGTTGGGAGGTAACTTTGAAGAGGCAGACAGATCTGCCCTGGGGAGGGGCCAGTGTGGTGGATTCTGATCCTGGTTACTGGGGAAATCTCTTTGGCCAAGACTCCAAGGGAATGGGGCAGCCTCCAGGAAAACCTCTGCCTGAGCAGAGAAGTGTGGAGGGCCCTGGTGGGACTAAGGACCGGCCCCAAGGATCTTTGGGGGTGGGCAGCCTTCCGGGGGCTGCCAGGGGGAAGAAGTCAGCTCCTCCCAGGAAAGGAAGGATGCCTATAGATAAGACCCATAGCTGCTGCCTATGAGCTATCAAGGCCCTTAGATAAAAGCAGCCAGAAAAATCTTTCTTAAGGATCACCTCAACCATGAACAGGGAGAGGGGCTGAGAACTCTTCTGACATTTGAGCGACATGATTGAGGAGGACCTGGGATGAAGGCGACCCGAGATGGGGCTGGAGTCTGTGGAAGCGCATTCTGTGGGCTCCAAGCCATTCTTGAGGTCACCTGCACAGAGTTGGAGGCCCAGTAGGGGAAGAGATTTCCACTAGACTTCTGGGATACATGCAGGCTAAAAGTTGCAAAGGTAGATGGAGCGTGAAGCCCAGATCTCCATCCCCTGGGAAGAGCTGGAGGGTTAGACCTGGTCCAACAGCCAGACCGATCCAGTAGCTGGAGGGCCTAGTCCTGGCCCAGGAATTCCTGGTGGCCTGATCTTCCCTCAAATGGAGAGAAGAAATCAGGGACCTGCAAGATACTGGGAGACATCTAGAAAAACTCCCAGAACTTTTGGGAAAGAATTCTGGAGGTCAATAAGATTGGAATGCAAATACAAGAGCTTTCCTTAACCTGTGGGCTAGTCTTAGAATCCACGATCTGGCTGGAAGGTCAGAGGTACTAGCAGAATACAATGCTGTCTGCCTGTGGAACTAGGTGGTTGAGAGAGTCATTCTTGAACTTGGTCTCCTTCTGTCTACCTCCTGTTCTCCCATTTTGGGTTCCTGTGGTTATGCTATAGGAGTTTCTAAGGTGTGGCTGTGGGAGAGAGATGTGGAGCTGGGGGAGGGGCTGTGTTATAGATAATTAAGGAATGATGTTTTATCTATTGCTATGTAACAAGCCACCCCAAAACTTAGGGTCTCAAAACAAGCATTTGTTATTGTACATTTCTGCGGGCTGACAGGATTCAGTTGGGTGGTTCTGCTGGTCTCTCTTGGCGTCTCCCATGCATTTGTAGGCAGGTGGCACCTGGAGCTGGAGTTCTGGAGGCTCACGACTGGGCTGGCCCCTCCAATATGGTGCCTGGGTATCCTTCATGTGGCCTTTCCCTCCCCGTGGTCCTCAGCCTCCAGGGCCTTTCCACGCCACCTTCTCTTCAGCAGGGGGCTTGAAGTTTTTACATGGTAGTTGGCTTCCAAGAACATGAAAGTCCAAATTGTCAGGCCTTTTTTTTTTTTATGTTTATTGATTCGAGAGAGAGAGAGAGAGAAACACTGATGTGAAAGAGAGACATTGGTTGCCTCCTATCCATGTCCTAACAGGGAATCGGACCCAAACCCCAGGGATGTGCGCTGACCAGGAATCGAACCCCCAGCCTTTTGGTTTACGAGGTGATGCTCCAACCAACTGAGCTACACTGGCCAGGGCTGTCAGGCTTTCTTGAGGCTTAGGCTCCAGCCTGGCACGTCACTTCTGGCACATTCTATTGGTAAAGTGAGTCACAGGACCCGTCCAGTTTCAGTGTTGTGGAGAGGCGCACACAGGTGTGGATGCAGGGAGACCAGGGAGGGCCATTTTGCAGACTAGCTCCCTCAGAAGTGGAGGGGGACACACCCAGGACAGACGATCTTACAGGGGAAGCAGTGCCAGGCCAGTCAGAAGGCAAAGCCTCCAGAGTGGGGTAAAAGGCAGGAGACTTGGCTGTCTGCTAGGAAATTCTCATTGCCATCCTAGGAGGATTTTTTAAAAAAATTTCAAGATGCCAGGGATTGCTTTATAAAGGCCACACAATAAATGGTGCAGCTGAATTTGCAACTAGATTTTCCTGTCCCAAAAGTCTGGGTCAGTCCACTGGCTCATT